CTTGGGACACGAATGAAAGACACTGTGCTGTCTGTTCATTGGGAAGTTAACAAATTCTGCCTGGAGATCCCTCTAATATTTTCATTTTTCAATAGACAGTACTTACCAGAAATAATCCTGAGAATTTTAAGTACTTTCCAAATTTAATGATGCAGAGTTTCAGGTAGAAAGAAATTCCTTTGTAATAAACTCAGTATTTTCTCTTTTACATTATCCATAAATTTCCCAAACTGAACAGAGTGAGCAATTGCAGAAGCACACCCATGGGTGAGACCTACTTGCGATTCTGTGATTCTGTGAGTTTCTGTGCCAGCATACTAAGTAAAGCCCTGTCCACTTCTGGCTGCTCTGTCCTGTTTGGGATTTTGTTTCTGAAGCTTGATCATATTGGCAGACAGTCTTAACCTCACTGATGGTGTGAGCAATTAACCGTGCGAAGAAGGAAGGAAGACTGAATTAATGCAGCCATGATGTCAAGGCAAGGACTTGCAATATTAATAATAAGGTTTGGTTTTTCTGAAGTTTGAAAACAACACAATCAATTCAGGTAAGATAATGCATCAAAAGCTCCAGCTTCAGACTCTGCAGTGAGGAATAAAGAGAATTTGAGAGCTTTGAGTTATCCCTGCAATACAACAAGCAACTGCCCATGAGCGGGGCGGCCTCAGGGGCTCTCCATGGGGCTGTGCCTCCCGAGCCCGGGGAGGGGACGGGGACTGGCACGGCCCTGTGGTGGCTGGGGTCACCTGCTGACATGAATAAAAATAAATAGATGGTTAGACCTCCGCTTGGAAAGGGAAGGGCTGTGATTTCTGTTCAGGTTCAGTTTGAGACTTGCTTGCTCCGAGTTGGTTTAATTATCCCTTTTAGCAAAATGTCAGGAGAGTGCAGCCTTGAAACAGAAAGAAAGAAACAAATGAATATGGAAAGAAGACTTTATTTTTCTTTACAAAATCTTTTTAGGGCTGTTTCATGTGATAGAGCCGCCACACCACCTACAAGATCCAAAAATCCAATCTGGGGCTTAAATTCAACTTCAGAAATAGCCACTCCTTCTCAGAGACTCCCAGAGACGACGATCTCTCTCAAGAGCTTCTGGAATAACTACAGGGTGCCAGGATGCCCTGATCAGGAACTGGAGGAAATTAATTCAAAACAGGCAAAAGAAACAAAAAATACCTATCAGCAAGCAGTACATGAAATGCCCAGAGGTCTTGCTGCTCTCTGGATTAACCCCAGATTGGAAAATCCAATCTAGAAACAAACCCTGGGGGCTCCAGCACAGCTCTCCTGGAGGATGCACGGCTGTATCCCGCACCCTGGCCCATGGGTTTCAGTGGCTGGGGTGCTTAGCCGATGTTTCTGCTGCAGTTAACACTTGACACCAAAGCTGTGAAGTTCCTGCAAAAATCCAGTGATTTACCTTGCTGCGTATCAGCCGAAGGCTCCTGAGGACCTGGCGCCAAGCCCTGACACAGAGCGATGGAGAGTGCAAACCATCCATTGAACGTGCTACAAAAGCAGTTGTGAATTTTGCTATTGTGTTCGTTGTGAACATGAGTTATGCCCAATGTCTAACACGGCTGATGATGTCTGATGCAATAGGGACTTTTGAGTTAGCACATAAAAACCTGTTCATGAAATGTTTGGTCCCCCTTCTTGCAAAGTCTGTTACAACTCTAAAGAGTAATCGAACAACATAAAATTCACACTGATCCCTTCAATTCTTTTTTAAGCATCCTTAAATCCAGCTTTTTTTTTTCCTGCTGTACATCTTACTTTTTATAGTTAAAAGTAATTTTAAAGCAAAAAAGAACATAAACAATATACACTGACTCTTGACACTCTATTGCTTTTTTAAACTAGAATAATAAAAATTTGCAAATGAACAAAAGAGTGGGAGGAAGATATCTGATTTACAATGTTTTTGAGATAAAGAACACTATAAAAAAAGATCAATGTGAATAATAAAGCATTGTTAACTGAGTCATGACATTTCTATTCTCAGTGAAGATTTGAACAGTAGAGCTCTGCAAATGAGCACCTTGTGCCATTTTCAAAGTGGGAGGAAGACATATAATTATAATTTTTAAAGTGAAGAGAATTTTTAAAAATCTCTGTGAAAAAGTTTATTGAAAAACATATCGACATATCAATATGACATAAATTACTTTAATTTTATTAAACTAGGAGGGGGAAAACCTCTTTCTGAAGACTGGCTGCAGAAAGCATTCCTTGAAAAGAATTTTCTTTATTAAAAACTCTTTTGCTAAGATGAAACAGCACCGAATGTCAGCACTACCGTATATTTATTCTGTAACTCTTCCAACAGCTGAGATCTATAAAAGAAACATATTTTCAAAACAGTTTTAACCTCCATTGTCTTGATCATTCGTATTAACATTTTTCATGTCACCTATTGAAATCCCTTAAAGGAACCTTTTACTCAGTCAAAATTAATGAAGCCATTTTCTTAAACAGCCTCCAAAAAGTAAAAAGGACGTAATGTTGTACATTTTATTTGACATACGTTTTCTGCCATTTCACTTATTTGTGTGATGAGAGCAAAACTTCATATTTATGCTATCAAATCTGCAGAGAAAAGTGATTTTGAGAGAGAAGAAAACTAACTCTGCTCTTGCTGTGTGTGCAATTTAAATCCACAGTGAAAATACAGCATTGATCAGATTACTCCAATTGAGTCATT